TGCTGAAATTCTGTTGTTTTAAGCCATCCAGTTTGTGGTATTTTGTTACCGCAGCCACTGAAAAACAAAATGGAAGTTCACCTGTGGTCACTTTCTTTGTTAAACCATCAGAGCCACAGTATCTCAGCCACTTTCGCCCCAAGGGCGACTGGTGGGATTGCTGCTGTTGCCAAGGAAGCCTCCCATAAAAAGAGACAGCTTGAGACCACTCGGCACCAGCTCACTAGGGCTTGCCCAGTGACCAGGTGGGGCCTGGGGTAGGAGGACCCAGCTGCCTGACCCTCAACCAAGGCTTTCTCCCCCATTTCTGGGAACCCCAGCCCTGCCCCCCACACCCTGGCCATCTTGCCCTTTCTCTCCCACCAGCCTTAGCCACATCTCTGCACCTCTCGGAGCCTGTGGAGGTTTCCTGGCTTTGACACAATGGTTTGAAGGCCTTCCACATCTCCCATCCTCCCTCGAAGGAAGAGACCAGGGACCAGTGTGCCCTGGGCACACTGCCTGAAGGCAGGTTCTCAGAGCTGTCATGCAGCAGCTCTCCACAGTGGGCAGTCTGGGCAGCACGTTCCCATCTCACAGATTACAAAACAGAGGCTTTAAGAGGCAAAGCAACACGCTCAAGGACACTGGGCTCCTAAGCAGCAGAGGTGGGTCACCAGCTCACACTCTCCATCCTCAGTCCACATAGTCTCAGTCTCTCCATTTGCTGTGCCACAAACAAGGGTCCCACTCTGGGCCTGGGCCCTCATATCTATTATGTCCCCATGTACCCAGTAGCATCACGAGAAGGGACACTACCATCACCCCACTGTCCAGGTAGAGACCCGAGGCTCCACCCTACTGCCATGAACCCTGGGGCTGTGAATCTTTCTCTCCACTCCCAGCACTTAACGAGCGATGAGGCTGGACACTCTTTGTCCAGGGGGCTTTCTCCCAGCTGCTTCCTGATTTGGGTCTCCAACTGGGAAGGAGCATGGAATCTTTGCAGGCTCAAGACTCCAGGCTTGGGAAGGGCCAGGGTGGGCTGCACCCCTGCTCCCACACTGCTCTGTGGGCTCCAGGTAGGCCTGGAGAGCTGTCCACACTAACGGTGTGTGCTTGAGGCACCCAGACAGCTGGCAGCAGCCTGCTGGGAGCTGAGGGCAGCTGACAGGAGCCTCATTCTGCACCTCAGGGACCCTCTGGGCCCCAAGCTTGACCCTACACCTGCTATGTACCAGCTGCTTTACACACATTATTTAAATATTTCCCAGCAGTCCTGCTTTAAATGTGTGGTTATAGAGGAAAGAATGAGGCTTAAAAGAGAAGAAGTTGTTTTTCTCAAGGTCATATAGCTTGGGAGGGTCGTTCTCAGAACCTGAAACCCAGGTAGGACAGGGAAGTCCCTTTGGAGCACCCTTCTTAGCTTCTTTAGGTGGCCTCCATTTGGATTTGAGGGGTGGGAGACTGAATTTTCATCTCATTGTGCCACTGTCTTCCTGGGTCACCTCAGTTCCCTATCTGTAGCAGCACAGGGAACAACATGATGTCCAGATCAAGCCCAGCTCTGAGCACCTGTGAGCTCCCTCACCCTGCTCTCAAAACCTGAGCGCCCTGCAAAACAAAGCCCCAGGTCCTCCTGACCCACAGGGCAGGGCACAAACACCTGCCCCCACCAGGAGACCTTAGTGCTTGAGACCCACCAGCCCAGATTCCCCTTCTTTCTTTCTCCCCAACCTTGGAGTTTGCCAACTGCAGCAACAGGGTGCTCCCTTTCTCTAGGTCCAGGTGCTGATGCTGATCACATCTTTGTGTACACCCCTCTACAGTGTCCAAAGTTCTCAAACAGAAGTGGGATACAGCAGAACAGGAACCAGCAAGCCTGGCCACAGATGAAGAGACTGAGGTGCAGAGAGCTCAAGCAACTCATCTAAGGGCACACAGCTGGTCAGGAGACACTGGGCCAAGGCATTCATCCTTCTGACCTGAGGAAAACCAAGGACCTCCACCCCCTCCACACACACACACAATGCTGCTTTCCGCCTGGGACTTAAGAAGGCTAACAAGAACCCCCAAGGCTCCAGAAAGCATGGTGTGACCTTGGACAAATCCTTTCCCCTGGCCAGGCCTCAGTTTCCCTCTTATGGATGAGCCCAGCTAAGTGACCTCAGAACACATGCCTGCTTTGGCTGTTTGTTTTGTCCCCAGTACTCGGGATTGAACCCAGGGCTTTCCTATTGAACTACATCCTCAGGCCCGTTTTTTTTTTTCCTCCAGGCAGGTTCACACTAAGTCATTAGGTTGCCCAGGATGTGCTCCAACTTGCAGTTCTCCTACCTCAGCCTCCGGAGTGCAGGGATTACAGGTGTGTGTCCCCACATGTGGCCTTGCTTTCTAGGTGGCATTCAATGCACAGCATAAAGGATGACAGAGCTGTCCAGCCACCTGGGACTGGCCACACTACCTGGGGAGAGCACTGCCTTTACCCACAGGAGACCCTCTCCGAGTTCTCAGCCTGCTTTTTGTGCACTTGGGAGCCAGCATCATGCCAGAGTCTAAGCGAGCAGGCAGGGACCCTGACAGCTTGGCTTCTACTTCCACTGTTGCCTTCCAGCTGTGTGACCTTGGGTGTGGGACTTCACATCTCTGGACATAGCTTTCCCATCTGGCTCCTAGGGATAACAGGGCTGTGGGTGGCCCCACTGAGGGGAGATGTGCAAAGCAATGAGCTTGGTGGATGCTAGTGGGGTTTTTATTTCCCTAGATCCACTGGCCCATACCTGCAGCTGGGTAAGGGGACACTAGGTGCAAAAAGAGGGACCAGCATTTTAGCCTGTGCATCTAGCATTGGCCACAGGCAGCTTTTCTGACCTTCAATCTAGAGAAGACTTTGGAGGTTGCTGGAAGCATCCCACATCCCCGCTCTCAGAGTCCCCATATTGGTGGGCCAGCCTCCTGGAGCCAGAAAGGGGGTAAGCAGGGCCAATCTGGGCAGCAGCCCGAGTCCGGCCCTCCTCTGTCTTCAAATCCAGGCAGCCTTCTCTGCAGTACATCAATAACCTGGGATGGCCTTGCTGAGCCCAATCACAGCTCCCTTGGAATGTGGCCTGGCCTGTCCCTCAAGCCTGCCTGAGGCTGTGGTGGCCATTTGGGATCTAGTGTCCCTCTGTCTTACTGCCAGTCCCCTGAGGGGCCAGCTCCCCGCCAGCACCCACAGAGCCACCTTTGCTCCTGGAAGCTGGTCGGTGGGTGTGTGCATGCAGCATCTGCAGAGGTGCTGCGTCTGTGTGCCTGTTGCCCTTCCCTTGAGTGTGTGGCCGACATTCACCTGTGGGCATATCCCAGCATGCCATGTACCTGCCATGCATGGACAGGCATGGAAGTGGCACCGGGAGCCCCGCATGAGTCTGGCTGTCATGTTTGCACCTGGGCAGCTTCACACACGCACACCCTGCACCTGTGGCTACTGCTGCAGGGCACTCCTTCTGCACCCCTATGAAAGGCCGGGAGGCATGTGTGGGCTGGTTAGATTCACAGGTGTGTACACACTACATTCGTGTTCATGCCCTACTCTGCAAGTAAGCACGTGGTGTTTAGAAAATGAGCTATATTTGCAGGCACTGGGGTGCATCTGTGGGCACAGGCATCCTGTACATCTGCATATGTATGACTTCAACACATATGATGCACTACTTGCTGGTGCTATATTTGAATCTGTGCATCTGAGTGAATCTGTGGACATGTATATGTCCTGATGTGGACAGGACTGAGAATGTGAAGGTGGCTAAACAATCTGGGCCATCAGCATCTGTTCTGGGTACCCCTCCCCCAGAGGACTCCCCAGAGCCACAGCCTCCTCCTCCCCAGGGCTCCTTCAGGGAAGTTACCAGCAGCCCCTGGGCCTGCGCTTGCTCCTAGCCCCCTCCTACTGCACACGTCAAAGGAGAATTTCTTGGGATGGCGCCTGCCTCTCCTGGAAATGCCCCAAACGTCAGCTCTGCCTCCTCCCAGAGAATTGGAGAGCCATGCAGGAGACCAGGGAGCCCCTCTGTGCTGGGCGCCAGCATGCAGCGTCATACCAAGACCCTCTGCCGGCCTTACCCTTCTGAAGGTCGAGTCTGGTGGGCCTCTGTCCGGAGGAGGGGGCCTACCACACACACCCCAGAATCCTTGTCTGATTGGGACAGGCCTGTCCGAAGACCCCTCCCTATACCACCTGGGTGAAACAGCCCTGGTGTGCAAAGGGCTACTTGGAGAGGCGGCTGCACACAGCAACACCACCCCACCACCCCACTACCCGGCCTGTCCCGTCCCCGTGGGAGGTCCTGAAGCTGCATTTCCGACCCTGTAGGTGTCCTGGTGCTCAGCCCACCCTGGCCAGCAAAGAACTGATCTTCTCGGCGAAAGTGCCAACTCCACCACCCAGCATGACCGCTGAAAAATGGCCTGGTCACCCTCTCCTGCCTCCCTCCTGCCATGGAGGGGACATGGGGACACATCCTAGAACCGCAAGCCCAGGCCCGCCTGACCCGGAGGTCCCGGCACCCCGCAGCCTAGCCCATGCTGGAGACCTCCGCCTGCCCCTTCCCGGCAGGTGGGCAGTGTGGGCAGCGGAACCCTCCGTCCTCTTCCTGTGCCCGGGACGAAGCGCAGGGAGAACCTTGCCCCCGCCGCGCCGCCGCCACCACCGGCCCTTGCATAACCTCCTCGGGGCGTTCGCAGCCGAGCCGTGGAATCCACCTGAGCTCTGGTATCGCAACGCCCCGGCCCGCTCAGCGCCGCGCCCGTCCCACCCCAGGACCCCGCTCGAGGGTCCCCGCGGCGCAGTTCCGGTCGCGATGCAGCCCCAGCGGCCGCCTTATAAACAAGCCTGCACCCCCACCCCACGCCGCGCCGCCGCACCACCGGCACTGAAACCCAAATGAAATGCAACCAGATAAAAGGGGCGAGGGAGGAAAGGGAGAGCGGAGTGGGGCGCTTTTATTTTTTATTTTTCCATGCTGGGGGATGCCGGTACTTACTTGGCTCCGAGAATCGCCGCCGGTCCGCACGGCCCGAGGCGGCAGCCCAGTCGCGGTGCGGCAGCGGTGGCAAGCCCGCCGGCGCGGTCCTCTGCAGACCGTACCATCCGCGGCCGGCGGGGCGGGGCCGAGCGGCGCCCCGAGCGCGCCCAGGGGGGAGGGACGGCGGACCGCGTGGGGGAGGGGCGGGCAGCGTGGGGGAGGGCGGGCAGGAGGGGCCCACAGGGTGCGCGGGGGCGGGCGCCCAGCCGCCGCCCCCGCGGTGTTTGCGGTTCTGATGTCTCCCGTGGTATCGGGAGAAACCAGAGTTAGCAGAGCCCCAGGAATATGCCCGCTCCCCAGAAGCAGGAGGGATGTCAAGGGCACTGAGAGGGTAGGGTTTAGGCTGAGCCCAGGGAGGGGTCCCGAGTGGGGGTGAGGAGTGGGGTTTGAGGGGAGGATTTTGCTCAAATGGCCCCGTATTGCCCCCTACTTCCTGGTGGACCTGTTAGGTTGAGAGGGGGCTGTTTCCCCGCCCCCTCCCCTAATCAGGACACCCCAGCCCTGGGGGCAAAGGTTGCATGGCGGGGGGGGGGGGGGGAGTAGACTCAAAACACCTAAATGCATCTGTGTGGTTGCCAGGCCAATAGAACAGAGCCCCAGGGAGCTGTGGCTGCCACCTGAGTATCACCTCTGCAAATCACCACCCGGCATGGGAGGGGACAAGGACCGGCAGAAGAACCCCTCAAAGGGCCACTTCTGTGCTGCCAGGTGCCCACCTGCAGAGTGTTTGCATGTCCACATCATCAATGGGGACATCTTGACCAGTTCAGAGCCAGCCATGTGCAGGGACTCCAAGGAACCCCCACCCCCACCCAGCCTGCTGCTCACTCTTTTGCTGCCCCTTTCGTTCAAGACTGGTGGGACCATATCCCTCCGAGTAAAGTGAGGTATGAGGGGTCCCTGTAGACTTCTGAAGCCTCCCTTTCCATTGCCCTGCCCCCAGGAGTCCCCTTCTGAGTGGGAAGCCCCCAGAGTGGAAGGACCTTCCTTTCAGGACACCTGTGTGGAGGACCTGGCTCCAGCTGGGGCCAGGGGTGGCCCCAGAGCCAGTTCCAAAGGAAGCTGCCTCCTGTGGCCCCCACCCCTGCCTACCTCTGAGCTGCCTGCCTGAGCGTCCCATGCCGCTGCTCCATCCCTTGGCTGGCACAGAATATCAATTTGTCTCCTTAAGCTGAAAGTCTGCACTGCACCAAAATCAGAACCTGGCCATGCCGAGGGGCCGAGGGGGGAGAGCACCAGAGCGCTACAGCAGGGCCCTGACAACAAGACCAGGCTGGCATCCCCTTCCTTGATACCCCCAGCCCATCACAGGGTCCTGCCCATCCCTCAGCCAGGCAGAGAAGCCTCTTTGTGTGTGTGTATGTGTGGGGTACTGGGAAGGTAAGGGTTTCAAGGACTTGGATGCCATTCTGTGGGGGAAGAGTGTGACTCAGGCTGGAGAAGATCGCCTGCTGGGGATACCATAGAGTGTCCAGGGCCTCCATCAGAAAGGGTCTCGCCCCTGTACCACAGCCTGGGCTTGGGAGCTTCCAGAGACACCTCTCAGCCTCATCTTGGGGATGCAAGTAGGGGATTTTACAGGCCACTCCTAGGGGAGACTTCCAAGTCAGCCCAGGCGGCCAGGGCCAGGGCTGGTTCTTCACCTTCCCTGGGGCTTAGAGGAAGCTCTGCTCCCCACAGCAAGGCCAGGTAAAGGTGCTCTGCAGTGCCAAAAGACAACTCTGCAAGCACAGCAGGCCAGAGAAAAGGCTTCTGTGTGTGTAAGGAGGACCAGCTTTGGGGGCAGCCACTTTCCCTGATTATTAAATAGCCCCAAAGGGATCTATTAGTAGCCACCAACTTTAACAACATTATCCTTTGGTGTCCAGAACAGTTTACAGTTTGTGAAGCAGCCTGTGAAATGGTAAGTCATCTGATCATTCCAGCCATGACTAGGGCAGCTACTGTAAGCACGCAGGTGGGGAAGCTGTGGGTGGCTCAGAGGGGTGTGGTGGCCAGGACACAGACTACACACCAGTATGGGGTAAGCCCCACCTGTGCCTCCCAGTAGCTGTGGTTACCAAGCCCAGGGCTCTCCGAATGTGTAAGCTAGCAGTGAGTGGGCTGGCCAGGAGCCCCATAACTTGCCCACTTGGAATCAGTGAGTCCTGTCTGTCCAGTGGCCCCCATGTGATACCAAAGCTGTACTCTCAGGCAGATGTGGATTTTGGTTCCCCAGAATCTAAGACTAAATCTGGCCACAGCCCCATATCTCTGATATTCCCAGCCCTGTGTCCCTCAGCCTCTGAGTCCACACCCATGTGACTGGCTGCCTCTGTCTTATGAAGCAGTTCAGGTGTTGAGCAGCAGTGTCTGAAAGTTTTTCCTTGTGCATGTACCCAGCTTCTAGGTCCACAAGCTCTATTCAGCCTCAGAGTCCAGCTGAGACGGCCTATGTTGCATAGTCCTCCCCAGTTCCACGATGTCCATGAGATGGCCCATGCCTCTGTCCTCATTCTGGCTGCACCATCTTGTGGTGGTCTGGATGTCTGTCTCCCCCAGCAGCTGTGACCACATTGGCTGTGCATCTAGTGTCCCACCACATGGTAGGTGCTACAGTAGAGTTCTGAATGATGTTGATTCATCAGGTGCCACAACCAGAAAGACCCTCAAGAACCAGCTTAGTTGATAAAGGGCAGAAATCTGATCTTAAAATACAGGAACAGATAGAGAGAATTCAAAGAATGCTTAGGTCATCCATCTTTAAAAACAACAGCAACATCAAAAATTCCAGCTGGACTTGTACCTTTCCTATGTAAAATGGGCCAGCATCCTTCAGCAGAGTGTGCCATTCTCTTTTTTCTTTTTCCCTTAAGCCAAGACCAAGACAGAACTTCCTATACACTCACAAATTCCATAGGTTTCCACCTCTCAAGAGAAACATAAACATTCCAGGCTCCAGAAAATAATGCACCTCATTCTCTGGATGCCACTCACACTCTTCTCTTGTGTTTTTCTTTCCTAAATAAGTCTCTCCTATGCTGAAAGAAAGAAAGAAAGAGAGAGAGAGAGAAAGAGCAGGCCCATTCTCCCATTTTACAGTAGAGCACACTGAGGCCTCGGGTGAAGGCTGCCAGTGGTTTGCCTGAGTTCATCTTGAGAGGGGACTCAGGCCATGGACATCAGCCTCTGCCCTGCTTAGGCCTGGGACCTCCTCCTCCTACAGCAGACACACCCAGGGCCCTGGCCTCTCTTTCCAGGATATGTTGGGGACAGGGGGCACTGGACAGGCAGAGGTGTTGTGAAATCAGACAAACAATGACACTAGTGTTGCAACTCCAGGAAAGCTGGAAATGCAGGTCAGAGTCACCCACTGGGAAGAGGGGACAGAGGCAGGAGGCCAGGCAGGAGGGTTACTGATAGCTTTTGCCTCCAGCCTGGTGTGGCTCATGGTAGACATGGACTGAGGGCCAGGGTTGGGGAAAGGGTCGAGAAGTTGGTGTGGATTGGGATGTGAGCCAGCACAACTGATATTGATATGGTGTTTAGTTGGCTGTACACTCTCTTCTCCCTTGGCCAGAGGTCCTGGGGCCAAGGCACTTTGCCTAGAGTGGGGGCGGGGGCCAGTCTGCTGGAGGCGCATGGTCTGGGCAGGTCTGAGGGAGGGAGAAGCACATACTTATGCTGAGGTGCACCCTCCTGGAGAGATGGGTGCTCTCAGCCACCTGTCTCCTCCCAGAGTAACCAAGTGGATAGTCCACCTGCATCGGTCTTTTGCTGACACCTGGGCAAGGGTTCTGTATCGGCTCTTGGGTGTGGCTGGCTGCTGCCACAGAGAGCTGTTAGCTGGTCCCTGGAGTGAAGTGACTTCCCTCGACCCCTCACATCCCCATCTCTTCCTACTCCACAGATCACCTTCAGATTTGTGGGTTCTTCCCATTTTATAGATGACAAATGGAGAGCTGGGCACTTCAGGGACTTCCTTAAAAGTGACAGAGCCAGTGAGGCCTGGAGCCGAGAGAACCCAGATCTGTCCAGCTAGAGCCCCAGGCCCTCCCCTCTTTTCCTGGCTGAAGTTGCCAGAGTCTGGGGCAGCAACCGAGGGTCTCCTGGGCCCATGGCCTTGAGGGCTGGTGAACGTGGGCCCAGACGATGACCTAGCCAGCTTGTCTCAAATCTCCCCTCCAGCCACACTGTGGTCCTTGCCCACTCCCCATGCCCACCATGGTCTGAAGCTCCACAGCCAACTCCATCTGGGCTGAGGCTTTTCATGCGCACAAACTTGGCTTCAACTCCTGGCCACCTCATTTACCTGCTATGTAGCTTTGTACATGTGTCTTGACCTCCCCAAGACCTAGTTATATGTCATCTGCAGAGTAGGTATGATTTGGCAGGATTATAAATTAAAGGAAGTGGCTGCTGTTGAGAAGCCCTGGGAAATTGGTAGGGGTGAGTCTGTTCCTGAGCCTCCTCCTGGACCAGGATAGTTCTCAGGCACAACCTGTGCCAGGCTTATTCCACCCAAGGCCCCAGTTCCCAGCTCCTGCCAAGGGTTCTTGCTTCCTTAGTGGGAAGGATTCGGACCTCGCTCTGGTGACATTCACACCAATAACTTTGTGCACCTCGTGTCCACTTTGTGGTCCTCGAGGCCCTGAGAGGCAGGGCCTCCTTTTATTTTCATTTCACAGATGAGGATACTGAGGCCCAGCAAGGTACAACAATGTCTTCAAAACCAGAGTGAGCAGGGACCTGGCATTGAAAGCAGAACTCAGTCCTGGGTGTGAACTTGGGTCAATGAGCCATGTGAGGCCTGGGTTTGCACAAATGAGGGCACATCTCCCTGACCACACAGGAAGGGGCCACCCTGACCTCCCTCCTGGCTGGGATGCCTTTGTGGTAATGGAGGACACCACTTGCCTGTTGTGAAGCCAGAAGCCAAGTCCAGAGTGTGTGCCCCCAGGGCTACTGCAGATGAGACAGAACCCATGTCTGTCTTCTGCAAGTCCTGGTGGGACAGGGCTTTGAGGTCAGCCCTGTAGAACAGGTTATCAGGAAGCAGGTTTTCTCCCCTGGGGAGCCTATGGCCCTGGGAGGACT